TATATGTATAGTAGTTATGTGTAAGTGTGAACAGTTGTAAATTGAGGAATACTAGCCAAAACCGCAATAGCTTAAAGCATTAATCCAGTCAGGGATGGCTGTAATGAGGCCCTCACAGCTACTGGCCTCTGGCAGAAAGTGCCTTTATTGTTTTCATTTTATGTGTACTTAAAGCTTGTTTTATCCAATTCTATGTTGTCTTTTGCAATTGCACACCACTCTGGTGGTTTTGCTACAGCTGATATCTTATAAACATGTATAAAAGAACTCAAGTTCTCAGATGAGACAGCACAACACTAAAATAAAGGTTTCCTGTTCTAAAGAGAAAATCTTGGGTAACCATTATATGTTTTGATTGAGTTTTTTTCTATTTTCCATATTATTTTTCACTGTACCTACCTTTGATTCATACTTAAAATATAAGAAATAAACATGTAAGCTAAAAGTTGAAGGTAGAGGTGTTGTCCTCCATGCGGCTATTTTATAATTTTAGATGTCCCATACTGTCTAGCATTCGATGGTTTCCTTTGGTGATTGCATGAAATTATAGAAAAGAGGCATACAATGTCATCATTTGTATTTTTTAACCTAACCAGCCTTTACTGATGAATAGAGATTATATCAGCCATCACTCACAACACTTCATAAAGGATTCCTAAGGCTTTCAACAATGCAATTGCTTCTATATTGAACGCTAAATTATATTTCCATGGCACGTTGCTGTTCCTTAGAGACATTGCTGCATATTATAAACTAGCCAATAAGATGAAAAGGGCTAACAACCCTCCCCTACTTCCCGTAAAAAAGAAAGAAAAAGAGAAAAATCACAATACAATGCTGTATTTATAAGGAATTTTATTATACCAAAAAAAAAAAAAATAAATAAATAAAATGGATCTGCTTTGAAGTCTTTGCATGGTAATGATTTGTTTAATAATGTTTTGTGTACATCGGAGACAGAAGCACCTTTCCACCCTTTGTATCTGTCAGCAGCATAGATCGGACCACTGTGAATTCTGGACCAGATCTCTAATAAAAAGCTATGAAAAAAGCAGGCAAAGAACTGTCATTCATACAACATAACTTATAAAATATATATAGATATTTATAGAATGTCATTCTAAGTGTATTTTGTTATATATATTGTGATAAAGTGAAGGCAGATAGGCCTTTTAACCCCAGGGGGAGTATGTGTAGTTTGTGTTTTGCACAACACAACGCATTGTTTAGTTATGGGCCCCTGGGGTGGAGCACTTGGAGAGAAGGGTGGGCCAATGCTCCACTCCACAGTTTAGTGGTGTTCTGGGGAGACCTAGATCCAGGCCAGGGTTTTTTGGACTGTCTCCAACCCACTGCTCAGCTGCAGGTAATCAGCTGTTGCAGTGGGAATAAACTCCTCCCGGCTAGGCAGGAAAAGAGAGAGGGATTGCTGGCTTCCTCCCAGGAAGCAGGTAGGAGAGAGAGAGGCTGTTCTCTCCAGATAGTCAAGAAGACTGGCTTGGAGCACTGGGAGTGCAGAAAGGAAAGCAGTCAGGGCAAGGCTGGCTTGGAGCACTGGGAGTGCAGAAAGCAAAGCAGTCAGGGCAAGGGTGGCTTGGAGCACTGGGAGTGCAGAAAGGAATGCAACAGGCTAGGCAGCAGAGTGTTGCTAACTAATAAGGTTGGTGCAATATTGTGTTTAGTTTAACCCTGAGAGATAGGGAACTAATGTCAGTTAGTGCTCAGACGAGCTAGGTGTTTGTTTATAGGGTTTTCTGTTACTTTTGTTTTTCATTTTCTGCTGTATCCTGTGTGGATTTGCAAATAAAGTGCCTGAGTATATGCAATTACAAGGACTGTGCATGTTTTTACCCTAGAGGGCCGTGCTACCTGATGACAAGGATCACAATATGGTGGAGAATGCGGGCACAGTAGCACATTGAGGGTCTGTGGGTGTGCCAGTCATTCGGTAGTCTGCTTGAGGACTTTTATTTTGGCAGACCTGCTAATCAAATAAGTAGCACTGTACCTTTAAGACTGTTACCTGCTTGGTGCTATAATGGAGGACCTGCTGAGAGCTGTGGTGCAGGCAACGGCTAAACAACAAGGCACAAACAGTTTCCTGGCTGCACAGGTTAAGAACCTGAGGGACGCTCAGCAGGAGCATAGAGCTGCCCTTACTGAGGTTTTGCAGATTGCCCCCTGCAGGGAGCGTGAGGACAAGGGACCCTGTAACCAAGCTACTGACATCCTGCATGAGATGACAGAGGCAGTAGAAGAAGTCTTCAGCAAGCTGAAAAGCATGGAGGCAGCAAAGCGTGCTGTTGAGAAACACGCAGGAGAGAGAGAACAGGAATTAGAAGGCAAGAAGGATGAAATTGAGCCTAAAAGTAGTGATAAAGAGGTCTTTGAAAAAGAATTGGTGGTAAGCAAAAACCACCCAGAAGGTGTAAGTAAAGCTAGTGGATACAGCCAGGGAAAGAAAAATGAAGCAGAAGCCCCTGATGTACACCCAAGTGAACAAGTCAAAGGCATGAAAAGCAGACTGATTTGGGGAGTCAGAGAAGACAACAGCAGAGGAGCTGAGCAAAATGGAGAGAAGCAAGGCACCCCAGTGGAGTATAACAATGCGGTGCACTGTTTAGTAGCTGAGGCTACCCAAGAATGTCGACCAGCTGTTGAACAGTTTGGCAGAGAAAAGCAAGGCCGAGAGGTAGTAGCAAAACAAAGTCAAAACAAGAAAGGCAAAGTAGCCGCTTCTGATCTAAGCCAAGAGAGAGCGACCGTTACGGAACCATGCTTTGATGATAAGATGGGCACGTCCGTAGCTAAGCCAGACCAAGGCGAACGTCACAAAGTAGGTGACATTGGCATAGCGGAATTAAATATTTCAGAGACACCTGGTATAGCTACAAAGACTTTAAATGATTGTTTGGGAGCCGTAGAACTGGAACTGCTGGCAAAGACTACTGCTACAAGGCCTGGACGCACTGACTACCGGGAACAGCTGCCAGATTCTGGGAACACAGTCATGGAATTAAAGGCGGGACTCGGAATGCCTGACCGGCTGTTTGATACCAGGGCTGTAATGACCCAGCGAGAGGCCATGACTGCGTCTCTGGACACCCCCATAGGGAGCAAAGCAGGTTCCCAGGGATTCGCAGAACAGATGGAGCATGTTGTGGAGCCCTTCGCGGAGGGACTTGTTCCAGTGAAGGATGAGCTGGTGACAGAACCAGGTCTTGAAGAGGTTGAGCACCTGGAAAATTCAGCTCATGAAGGAATTGGACGTATAGCTACACGCCAAGCCTTTGCAAAGTTTGCTTTTGAAAGTTACTCTAACATTGAGAGATTATCAAATCAGAAGCTGCTATGGATGTGGAAGCAGATGATGATTCAGAGGAACTTGGCTACTAAGGAGCCACATAGTACTGATCCTCAGCCTAGATCCGCTAGCAACCAGATAAGCGGGGAAACTGGAAAGCAAGGACAAAGTTTGGGACAATATACCTATGATGGTAGAACGTACCTAAAAGTCCTATTTTGGCTACGAGACCAGACTGAGAAAAACTGCTTCAACTGCCGCATGCATGGACATATTACATATAGCTATCCTGAGAGTGAAGAGACAATACAATGTGACATAGTAATAAGGGTTCTGTATAGGATTGTATTGACTTGCTTAAAGATGTGTATGGTGACTGGTGGTGGTGTTACAGCACAGTTAAAAGTGGTGATGGTGGTAGAGAAGAGTGCACAAGCACTGATAGATTCAGGGAGTGAGGTTACTTTGATAAAAAGTGTTTTGTTCCAGCCAGAGTATGCCGCTGCCTATCTTGGTGATGTGGCAATTCACAGGGTGGACTTTGTAGCACACCTGATGAAGGTCCGGTTAGTTGTAAATAAGGTAAAGGCTGCCGGTTTGACCGATTAACACTGCTACGTGTTATCTGGGATTTGATAACTATTTGAGTTATCCACTTGGGTGGGGGCTCCTTAAAATACAAGCGAGCAAGGTAGCAGCCATCCACAATAGGCCACTTCCTGTAACTGTGAAGCTAGTCAGGGCTGGTACAGCCCTAGGTGACGTGAATGTTCACGGTATGTGTTCTAAGGCCGCTCGACCCGATGGGTTTGAGCTGGGGAGGAGGATATGTGATAAAGTGAAGGCAGATAGGCCTTTTAACCCCAGGGGGAGTATGTGTAGTTTGTGTTTTGCACAACACAACGCATTGTTTAGTTATGGGCCCCTGGGGTGGAGCATTTGGAGAGAAGGGTGGGCCAATGCTCCACTCCACAGTTTAGTGGTGTTCTGGGGAGACCTAGATCCAGGCCAGGGTTTTTGGACTGTCTCCAACCCACTGCTCAGCTGCAGGTAATCAGCTGTTGCAGTGGGAATAAACTCCTCCCGGCTAGGCAGGAAAAGGAGAGGGATTGCTGGCTTCCTCCCAGGAAGCAGGTAGGAGAGAGAGAGGCTGTTCTCTCCAGATAGTCAAGAAGACTGGCTTGGAGCACTGGGAGTGCAGAAAGGAATGCAACAGGCTAGGCAGCAGAGTGTTGCTAACTAATAAGGTTGGTGCAATATTGTGTTTAGTTTAACCCTGAGAGATAGGGAACTAATGTCAGTTAGTGCTCAGACGAGCTAGGTGTTTGTTTATAGGGTTTTCTGTTACTTTTGTTTTTCATTTTCTGCTGTATCCTGTGTGGATTTGCAAATAAAGTGCCTGAGTATATGCAATTACAAGGACTGTGCATGTTTTTACCCTAGAGGGCCGTGCTACCTGGTGACAAGGATCACAATATATATATATATATATATATATATATATAATATTAATAAAATAAATTAGAATGAAATTACATATGTATAAATATTTTTTTTGAATGTTTAAAAAATATGTAATTTATTTATTTTATTATTTAATTTAATTATTATTGTAATTATACATATATATGTATATATAAATATATATATTATATATATATATATATATATATATATATATATATATATATATATATATATATATATATATATATATCTTATATATATGTAACTTCATTATAAGTGTATTTTCATACTAATATATGTACCAGGGCCTGATTTGCCATGGGAGAGATGCATGGGCTGTAAGGCAGTCCTCCCGAAGAGGATCACGGCGGAGGTAAGTCCACTGGAGCTCCTGTGGTAGAAAGCCGTTACAGTGTTCTATGCCACCGAAACGGCTTTAAAGCCCATTTTAATGGGGACGGCATAAAACGCCGTAATGGCGTTAAGGGGTTAAGGATTGCTCATTTGTTGCCAAACCGGATAATCACTTAACCACTTCAGGACGGAGTCAATAGTGCACGTTCTGATC